AAATCAGATATCTAGCCATTATAACAATTTAAGCGACCGTGCTAGAACCACGGGATTTGAGGGTGCCTAACACCTTCCCTCGGGTCAACAGAATTCCTTACTTAGAATTTCTGGTTCGCAAACTTCATTTGGAAAGTCGAAAAATTTCCTCGATTTGGGATTCAAGATAAACCGGTGACTTGGGACACCAAAAACCTTTCCCAAGTGGAGACTCTGAATTAAATAATCCCATTTCGAATATTGTCACTTAAATTGAAAAAACTCCCTCGCGCATTCAACCCTTCGAGGCGGGCCCGCAAAAAGGAGGTGTGACAGGGGCAGCACGGGAAAGAGTTGGAGGAGCATAGGGGATATGGGAATTAGTTGTAAAATCTGTTGAAGATGATAATGTAGAAGGAGATCGAAAGTCAAACACATTTGAGAGAAGTTGAGAAGAAGTAGAAAACATAGAAGGATATGGAAAAACGGATTCTACAAATGTTACATGCCGAGAGATTATAATCCAATTTGTACATGGATTCAAGCATTTGAATCCTTAATGAATTGGGGATAAACCAAGAAATAAACAAGGCACAACATGTGGGTGAAACTTAGTAACATGATTATGTGCTACAAATGGGTAACACAAACAACCAAACATACGGAGTGAATCATAAGTAGGAGGACGGCCAAATAATTTTTCGTAAGGCAAAAAAAATTTAGAACTGGCAGAGGGATAAGATTAAGAAGATGGACAACATGTAAAGATACATCTGCCCAAAAATTGAATGGTATTTTGGCTTGGAATAAGAGGCAACGAATAGCATTATTTATGTGCCTATGCTTTTTTTTCTACCATTTTGAGCTGATGTATAGGGACAGGAAACACGATGAAGAATCCCTTTTTCTTTAAGAAACGAATTGAAGAGGACATTGGCATATTCTTTTCCACCATCAGATTGGAAATAAGAAATTGATGAGTGATAGACATTAGAAATCATTGTGTAGAATTCCTTAAACTTATCTAATGCTTCAGATTTTTGTCGCATCAAATAAATCCAAGAAAATTTGGTAAAGTCATCAAGGAACAAAATATAATAATGAAAATCAGAATTAGATGACACTGGTGTTTGCCATACATCAGAATGAATTAACTGAAAAGGAGCACTTGTTTTATTAATTGATAGAGGAAATGATAAACGACTTTTTTTGCCCAAATGACAAACATTACATGAATTATTATCAAATGATGATGAACAACTAATAAGTTTCCTATGAGCTAAGGCACCAAGGGAACGCTGTCCTGGATGTCCTAGGCGTTGATGCCAAACTGAAGGAGATGAGATGCTTCCAAACAAACTGAGGATGGAGCTACACAGTGATTGAACCAAAAGAGGATAGAGGAAGCCAACGTTATCACATTGGAGTAAGACTTTCTTGGTCTTCGTATACTTGACAAAGAAAGTAGAGTTAGTTAATTCTATGTAACAATTATTATCCGCACAAAGATACTGAATAGATAGAAGATTCTTTTTGAGAGCGGGAACATATAGAACATTATTAAGAACTAAAGATTTTGATTTTGTAGGAATAGAAGAAAAACCATTGGAGACTATAGGAAGGAGATTACCGTTGCCCGCCATGACTTTTGTGGAGCTAGTGTAAGGGGAAGAAGAAGAAAGAAGTGAAGCATCACTGGTCATATGTGCGGATGCCTCAGAGTCAGGATACCAAACTGTAGGTTGAACCTCTTCATGGCTCATGGCTGCGACAGACTTCGGAATAACATTGGAGACATAGGAGTGATTGAACCTATTTTTGCACTCCAATGCAGTGTGATTATAATGAAAACAAATTTGACATTGTTTTGCACGATTGGGAGTAAATGGAGAATGACCCAAAATTCCATCAGAAGGTTGAAAAATATGACTTGGAGGTCTAAATGCATTTCATTGAGGAGAAAATGATAGAGAAGGATTTCCACGTCCTCTTCCATTAGAATGCCTACCATTTTTACCACGACCACGTCCATGTTGTTGCCCCCTGTTGAATTGATTACCATTGTTAGGCTGTCCTTGAGTAGTAGCAACTAAAGTAGTGGTTCGTGAACACGAATCTTCTATAGGAGTGTTCTTGATATGTGCCTCTTCCGTAAGCAACAATGGTCTCAAAGAAATAAAGGAAGGCAGATTGCCACTAGCATTGAGGCCAGACACAAATGTACGATAAGACGAAGGAAGGCCTTGCAAGACTTTGAGTCACAAGATCATCCTCAGTAATGACCTTGCCTATTGACGTAAGGGAGCAAGCCATAGAGTGGAGTTGTTATAAGTAATCTTCCATTGAGAGAGACCCTTTCTTGAAATTTTGAAACTTAGATTTTAGGTGAATAGCCGAGGAGGACACTTGGTCAAGATACAAGGATGCCAAAGTATCCCAAGCATCCTTGGATGTTTCACAAGAAAAATTGAGAAGAGTATCAAGGACGGGTAGAGAAAGGGTTGCATTAATCCAACTCATTGTAATTGTATCACACTGAGTCTATAGCTTGAATTCAGGATGATCAACTGAAGGACATGGAATAGAGCCATCAATAATGGAAAGAAGATTGTGACTCTTTAACACAGTAAGAAAAACTTTCTTCCATGTTAAGTAGTTCAAATAGGTTAACTCAATGGGAACAAATCCTTTGATGTTTGAAACGGTTGGGGGAGGAAGTGGAAAGCCAAGGGACGATTGAGTTGAGGAGGAAGTAATAGTTTCAGAATCCATAGCTGATCGAGCGGTTTCTGATACCATGATGAAGTAAAGAGTTAGATGGGAAGATTTAGTTTGAAGAGTAGGCCAACTTGTGTCTAGCTTCTCATTACACATATTTATATAAATACAAATACCAAGTTCCCTATACAGTACAAACTCTTGTACTTATCTCTATTTCCTACACAATACAAACTCTTGAAACTTATCTCTATCACAAATCATAGTACGAGGATTCACATTCATCATTCACAAAAACTTATACTTTATTTTTCATGTATTGTTAATTAGTCAAAAAATTATTTTGATAATATTTGTATTTTTTTACAAAATGTGTATTACATAACTCAGCATACACGTACAACGCACATGTCGAGAAACTAGTTTAAAACTATTAGCACCAAACATATTATGCTTTTGGAAAAAATTACTAGTTGTTTTCGCTTATATACCTATAGTTGTCGAAAATATAAGTCTTATAAATAAATCTCAACAATAAGCATTAATTGGTAACGGTAAAAATGATAATTACCTACTATTACAAGATAAACAACATTGGTAATATAAAAAATATTTAATTTAAATTCATTACCAAATTAGGTAGTCAAGTAATTGGACCAATAAATTGTTCGAAACAATATTGTCGTAATACGTCTAATAATTGTTTGGTTATAACTTAAGATGGTGCAAGTGTGATAACAACACGATAGAGGTCTAAAATTTACTAAAGAAAAACAAAATAATCAAAAAACATGGGGAAGCTAAAAGAAAATAAGGAAACCAA